GGCTCCTGTGGACAAGACCATTACTCTGGGAAAGGTGGAAGGTGCAGTTGAGGTATGATCATGTGAAGTGGTTTCATCTGTAAACTCACCATTCAATTCAATTCCTTTGGTAGGGATTTAGCCTGAATGTAGTGAAGTATACATATAATTATGATGCGCAGGCTATTAGGACAGCAGCGAAGAAACTGGCTGATGATTGCAGTATTGAGGATGCCAAAGCTGTATGTGAACCAGGAGTTGTGAGCCAGGTTTTTAAGTGGAAGGTATTTCATTATCCTATCTAATTAACTGCTAGTATCAGAGTCTGGCCTTCCAAGTCTTGTATCTTCTCTGGTCATATTTTCTGGAAAGTTTGCCTTTGGATATTTTGTCTGTATTGTATGTTTTGGTTTGATGCTTCTTAATCCTCAATTCAGTCACTGCAACTTTGCTGACTACGGTGATTGGTTACTTCTAGAATAAACTGAGGGTATATCTTGCCCCCTTCCTGCATGGTATGCGGTACACGTCTTTTGGCCGGCATTTTACGAAACCAGATAAACTTGCTGAGGTAATTTGCTTCGCCATTGCACTAGTTTTTGTCTAGTTTTTTATCAGGCCCTCTTCTAAAATTCATCACCTGAAACAGGCTCGATTTACTTTGGTTTGTATTGCTTAATATATTTTTCCAATCCTTGGTATTTATCATCCTGAAACCATTAATCCTACATGTGAACAGCAGCTGTTTTTCCTAGTAAAATGATCCATAGGAAAGAGGTTGAAAGTGGCTTGGAAAACCATTTCAACTTGATGTTCTGAGAGATTCTACTGATAATGCTATTTTTTCCTTTTTTGTTAATTACTTCTGCTGAAATTTTGGTATAGTCCTCGGCTTCCTTTGTCCTAAGCAAAATTCTGATGGATGATATACAATTTGCAGGTTGTCAATATACTTCACTGGTATGTGGAAAGCGGCGATATGGTGAGAATGAAAACATTATGTTTAACTTATTCATAAATTGTATTTGTAGGTCGAGTTGCTTTTGATGAAGTTTTTCTCATTTTCTCAAATCTCTGTGTTCGAACTTTCAAGTTTAAGCAGGTGAAAGTGTATACCGTCTTCTTAGATGATGAACCCTGCATCAGATGAGAAAGAATCCATAACCTTCAACATTAACTGCTCTTTTGCCTTGATGGAAGTTAATTATTAAGTGGGATGTATTTGGATTTTGGAAAATCTATCCCAAGACACACTGTATGGCAGATTGTCTTATTTTGTAGGAAGATTCTACAAAAATAGATATATAATCTTTTTATATTTATAAGATATTATTCCGAGTATACAGTGCATGCATACTATCTGATAAATAAAGGAGTAAATAGTACAGGCTAAAATCTTTCTCTGATTAAAATATAGCTTGAAAAATTTGCTGCTTCCTGATTTTTACCGGTTCGATTCTAAGCAGAATTTCCCTTATCTCAAGCCAATATATGAAACTAGGTAAAATATTTGATGCATCAGACTATTAGTGCATGAGCTCCCCATCTTGTTCACAGCTATTTTAAAGTCGAGTACTGATTTTTGCTATTATGTGGGTTGACTTACTCTGAACTCTAGTCTTCCACTGGACTGAAGTACAGTCTTCAACTAGGGTGATTACTGATAAATCTATACTACTTCGATCTCTGCCACAATTGCTGTTTTGTTAACTTTATATGCCTTATGTACTATGGTTACTGTGCAGATTGTCGACTTCTGTTGTGGTGCTAATGACTTCAGTTGCCTAATGAAGAAGAAGCTTGACGAGACGGGGAAAACCTGCTCATACAAAAACTACGATCTTTTTCCAGCGAAGGTAATTGCACTTGACATATAAATCCTGATAGTCTTCTGTGCCAATTCAGCACTAGCCTTCCATTTAGGGCAACCTTCACCTGCTTCGTGAATTTTGATAAGTAATTCGGTATACTGACCTGAGTAAAGCACTGTTTGGATGGAGTTGTGGCCAACATCCCAAGTCATTGAGGTCACCTGATTTATAAATTTGTGCCTGTCTGGGGAACAGCACAAGCACTGCATGGTCAGATGGTCCTGTTTGCCAATGGTAGTAATAAGAAGCAAATATGTGCCCATGTGGTAGTCATTTGGAAATTTTGTTGTAATAATTGGGTTTGGAAGGAGTCAAATATGATGCAGCGGGAGCCGAGAGGGCTTATTATGAAAAGGATGGATACCATCAAATGAACTGTACTTTCCTAAATTAGATAGGGAGGTTAATGGTGTGCGTGGTATGAGTTCGTTATTATCCTCTCAACGTTTAGCTCTTTTGAGTTTTCTGCAAAGTGAGTTCACTGGCAATGCTTTGCTCTTAAGTGTGCAGCATTCTTCTATTTATCTTAAAACTTTACACTCGAACCATGTAAGGAATTATGTCTATCCAATGAGATTGAGGTCTCTTAATTTGTGATGATTTCCAGTGCATGGATTTGTAATCTTATGCTCTGCTGATAAAGTGTTTCTTTGATAGAATGACTTCAACTTTGAGCAGAGGGATTGGATGACTGTTCAACCACAGGAGCTGCGGAAAGAAGGTTCAAAATTGGTAATTACACTAATACAAATAAATTAAAATTCCAGAAATGCTAAGCCTTTGGTTCCCCCCATTTCCATTGGTTCAATGTTTTAAACCCTCCTCTCGTGCTTTTGTAGATCATGGGGTTAAATCCTCCATTTGGGGTAAATGCAGCTTTGGCTAACCAGTTCATTGACAAGGCCCTTAAGTTTAAACCAAAGCTCCTTATTCTTATTGTGCCACCCGAAACTCAACGGTATAGGCCTTAACAGAAACTTTTTAGTTTTCACTTCTTTTTAATTCATTATCTCCTCCATCACTATCTGCCTCTCATTTACTTGGGAACATGTTTTTACCAGGTTAGACAAAAAGAATCCTCCGTACGACCTTATCTGGGAAGATTATGAATCCTTTGGAGGAAAGGTAATATAAGTTTTGCTTCTATTCCTCTTTCATGCCTTTGTTTATTTGTTCTGTGATTTTCATTCTTTGATACAATGAAATTGTCTCCCAGTCATTTTATCTGCCTGGATCAGTCAATGAGACTGATAAACCTTTGGATCAATGGAACAATGTTGCACCGGTCCTCTATCTCTGGAGTCGGCGTGATTTTACTAAAACCCATAAGGCCATAGCTGAAAATCATGGTCATGTGCCAGTGCAACACAAAAGAACAGATATGAGAGACACTAATGGCAGTGAAGTGCAATGTCCCAGTAGTAATGCATCTGTACTGAGTGGCAATCAGGGTTCACATGATAACAAGGAATTACAAGGATTGGATGATAGGCTAACTGGAGTTCAAAGTCATAGAGAAGAGAGTCCCTCTACTGAATGCAGAGAGAGAAAAGGCCAAGGTGACCTAGGCTTGGATTGGAAGAAACAATCTGAAATAAAGAAATCAAATAAAAGGAAGAATGTTGAAGAAGAAAACCTTGAAAAAAGAGGAGCATCCGAGAATTCTGCAGGAGATAACCGCAAAATAGGAAAGTTTGCTAGAAGATCCCCTCCTGTTTATCAAAGTCGGGGCCATGGCACAGACAAGAGATATGCAGGTGGTGATACCTTAACGCACGAGGAAACAAGGTACCAAGAACTTCCATCCTATGATGAACAAATGCATGAGCGAAGAGGAGCATCTGGGAATTTTAGAGGGGATAGCCAACAAGGAGCAGAACTTGCAAGAAGATCCCCTCGAATGCCATCGCCTTCACAGATGAGGGAAAGTGATTATCAATATGGAGGCCATGAGAGAGCTGGACCACCATATACCCATCATCATGCAGCACCATCAGCAGCAGCAGCTTATGGTGGTGGCAACCATGATGCTAACATGTGGCATGGCATAGATACAGGAGGGTACAAGGGATTGAGTTACAGGCAACATCGTCCCGAGACTCGGTATGATCAACCAACTGGAAATTATTTTGAGTCATCAGCACCACAGCCGTCCTTTTTGAGGGATACCTATGAGCCACAATTGTCATCGTATGTAAGCAGTAGGTCTGTGATGGATCGGTATGCTCCGCAACTGAATGAATTGAATCAGCAACCGATGGCAGGAGGTTTCGGTTATGATCCACCTGTGATGATGAATGGAGGAGGTGGTGGGTATGATGCTCGAGGGCATCCTGGGACTGGAGCGTTCCAGGGTGACTCGATGCATCTTCCCCCTCATGGTCCTCTGCACCCGGGGCCTGGATACGGGGCTGAAGAGGCATCTGAATTTTCAGTGGGTTCCATGGGTTTTGCTCCTGGTCCTCAGCCGCACCCATTTGGAGACCCCTACAACTCTGCGGGTTGGATGAATGACTGAGCCTGCAGAAGTTCAATATTTTTGGTTTGAAGTTGAAGTTGGATTGAATAATTGCATCAATAATTCCGTGAGAACAAAGTATCATGCTTTCGGTGTGTTTGGTAAATAGTGATGCATGCATTCTGAAGCTTGGTTGCTACAATAGGTTCTTTTCTAAGCTGCAACTGTTTTGTTTTTGTTCCGACTGTTGGCTTGGCTGTAATTGCTCGGTTGCAACTTGCAAGGGCGCAATATATGTAAGATTAGTCGAATTAGTTTCTGTGGAGATATATTTAAGCTACAACCTTGTGTTTCACACTTGCATGTAATATCTTACTCTCATCGTTTTTTTTTTTTTTTGGTCGGATACTCGCATCGTTTTTAAGTTGTATTGTATATAAAATTAGAAAAAATGGTTGTAAAATCGGTAAAATCGGAAAAATTGCGTTTCGGGACCGTTTTTAATTTGTATACGTTTTTAGCACAGCCGGGAAATGGCCTAAATTTCTTAAAAAAAAAAAAAAGAAAAGAAATGGCCTAAATGAGTAAAAGCGGCGCCGTTTAAGGGTGTTCTAAAAAAAATGGGGCTGGGAAAGCACGAGGGGATTCATTTCGGGCAAACAGCCAAACACCCTATATCCCTAATCGTTTTTCTCCAGCAGTCCAGCTAGGCACGGCACCATCCTCCACTCCTCCTTCCCCTTCAATCTTCGCCGAGACGCACCTCCACCGCTGTCTGCTGCAGGAACCGGCTACCCTAATCGTCGCCGCCTTCCACCAACCCTGTCCCGCCGCCGCCATCAGTAACTCCAAGCCTCCACCTGCCGCAACCCTCGGCTTCCAGTCCTCGAAGGCTCCAACTAGTGATTCCCGCCGCCGCCAGTCACCTGGCTGCACGCCTCTCCATTCTCCACGGCTCCACCACGCCACTCCCGCTCCAAGCCTCCCCACTGTCTGAAGATAGATAATTGTAAGAGGTTAATTGCACTTAAAAGTTAAAAGTACCAAATTAGCTACGGTAGTTAAAGAATGTAATTGTGGGGAATGATATCACAACTCAGAACTCACTATTGTATATACGGTAGCTGATTATCGTGAATGGTATGGAAGGAACATTGTCAAGATAGGGTCATAGGAACTCGGGTTTGCAATAAGTTACCGATTTTCAGTGGTCAAATTCGCAGATTTGTAGATTAGGGAGCACTGCCCAATTAGTAAAAATGGCGATCCTTTTCTGATTAATCCGATTGAAGGCGCTGATGGACTCCCAGTTTCTGTGCTTTAACCGGACCAGCTTGCTCACTAAACCTCTCCTTCCACCGCAATCTCGTTTATTTGCCGCCGCTCCGGACTTCAACTACCGGCCATCTTCAATTCAATCCAAAGGTATTATGCTGCCAGCAGGTTAGCAAGTAGAGGCTTTTGGCGTTATTGCGGTTCTTTCCTTTCGTGTGTTTACCGGGTTCTGGATGTCACAGGATTCGCTTTGAGCAGCATAAGGTGTGCAATGAAGTCTTACCGGTTATCTGAGCTAAATCATGCAGAGGTTGATGGCTTGAAAGCTCGCCCTCGGATCGATTTCTCTTCCATTTTCAGTGTGGTGAGCTCTCTCTCATGAACGGAGCTAATTACTTTAGCAGCATCCGAGTTTCCAGTTGTTTGTGTTAGCTTGGGGGGCATTTCCATATTGTTCATGTCTTGATTGCATCATTGTTCCTGCCAGGTGAACCCTATTGTTGATGATGTTCGCACAAGAGGGGATGCTGCAGTTAAAGAGTCGGTTATGCTTTTATGTTTTTTTTTTGCTTCTCATGATCAAAGCATTTCAGGAAGCTGTAATGCTTCTTGTTGATGCTTTTGTTGTGCAGGTACACTGCAAAATTCGATAAAGTGAACCTGGACAATGTTGTTGTGGATGTTTCCGAGCTTCCCAATCCGGAGGTATTCCTGCTAGAAAAGCACAATTTTTTATGTTCATCTGTCTCCCTATGACGGGTTATTGTGTATTATGCCTTAGTCAAATTGTTACGTTGCTTAGTTTAATTTAGCATTTTTTCTGTATTGCAGCTAGATGCAGATGTTAGGGAAGCATTTGATGTTGCATATGACAACATATATGCATTTCATTTTGCTCAAAAATCGAGTGAAAAAAGTGTCGAGAACATGAAGGTAAGTGATACTCGTGCTTCTTGCAAGCATGCTTCAAAATACTTAATCCATTTTCCTTCTATAATGTTTGGAAGTATTATAGGGTGTTAGGTGCAAACGGGTGGCAAGAAGTATTGGCTCTGTTGGTCTCTATGTTCCTGGAGGTACTGCAGTCCTACCTTCCACAGCTTTGATGCTTGCAGTTGTAAGTTGGTTGGAACTCTCATGTTAGCCATCCATGCTCTGCTTGCCTTTATCATGGGTAGTTTAGTCTAACAATTACTTTGGCATTTTACTTCCCTGCACAGCCTGCCCAGATTGCTGGGTGCAAAACTGTTGTTTTAGCAACTCCACCTAGTCAGGATGGCAGCATATGCAAGGTATGTATTGACATCTAAATTCTTTTATGAAAGTGACTTCCTGCTGATGAATGATTACGTTTCAACAGGAGGTATTGTACTGTGCCAAGAAGGCTGGCGTTACCCACATTCTTAAAGCTGGAGGGGCTCAGGTTTGATATTGTTTATTTTTATGCGAGGTTATATGCAGGTATCACATTTTCATCTCCTTATTTTCTCAATCTTCTCTTTCCAAGTTCAGGCTATATCTGCTATGGCATGGGGAACAGAGTCCTGCCCTAAGGTATTGGTTCTCTCTCAATGTAGGTCTTTGGAACCTAAGTGAGATAATATTTGTTTGGGTGTGCTGATGCTTTATTTGTATCCAACAATTGTTTCCATTGTTGCTATTATAGCCTCTTTTTGTGTTTTTGTTGTCTGTGAAATTTGTTTTCTGAGATTCAGTCATAACTTGCAGGTGGAGAAAGTTTTTGGTCCAGGAAATCAGTATGTTACAGCTGCAAAGATGATTCTCCAGGTGTGTTCATATTCCTCCGAGTTTCATGTTTTCCTATTTCCTTTCTGCTTTGTCTGAAAACCCATGTGCTGCTGAAGTTGTTTCAACTAAAAAAATCCACGGTGTTTACATCAGAACAGTGAAGCAATGATATCCATTGACATGCCAGCTGGACCTTCAGAAGTTCTGGTCATTGCTGACAGATGTGCCAGCCCAGTACATGTAGCTGCAGATCTGTTGTCTCAGGTGCGTTGTGTTCCGTTCATATTCTTCCACTGTTAAATAAACTAGGAATAATGAAAGCAGTAATGTTATCTGCGTGGCAATTGTTTTCCATCTGCCAATGTGATTTATTTTGTAACTCGGACACACCTGATGGTTTGTTTTTTGTGATGTGCTATTTAGGCTGAGCATGGTCCTGATAGTCAGGTTGTTCTTGTAGTTGTCGGAGATGGGATCGACATGGAAGCTATTGAACAGGAAATTAGTAAGCAGTGCCAAGCTCTTCCTAGGGGAGAGTATGCCGCGAAAGCTTTGAGTCACAGTTTCAGCGTGTACGCTCGTGATATGATAGAGGTAGGTCCTTTATTCTTCTTGGTTGCTGAGAATCATTAGTGTCAAACTCTTGCTCTTATTGCACCACAAACTCGGGCTAATTTTGGCGTGTCTATTCTGTTATTAATTTCCATGTTCAAATTGCATTTTCTGGGCAGGCCATCTCCTTTTCCAACTTGTATGCACCCGAGCATCTGATAATCAATGTGGAAAATGCCGAGAAATGGGAGGGTCTTGTTGAGAATGCAGGTAAGAGGACTTGCCTCTCCCTCGTCTTATTGGCTTAAACGGCTAATTAGTTCTTTAACCTAGGGGACTTTGTTGCCCCCTCCTTGGTAATAAACTCTTTTTGGTTTCACCGCAGGTTCTGTGTTCTTGGGTCAGTGGACGCCGGAGAGTGTCGGGGATTACGCCAGCGGGACAAACCACGTGCTTCCGACTTACGGGTATGCCCGGATGTACAGCGGAGTATCCTTGGACTCGTTCTTGAAGTATATGACAATTCAGTCTCTAACCGAAGAAGGCCTAAGAAGCCTTGGTCCATTTGTGGCTACCATGGCTGAAGTTGAAGGGCTCGATGCCCACAAGAGGGCCGTCACTCTTAGACTCCAGGATATTGAGGCCAAGCAGCAGCAACAGCGAGTCACCACAACATAGAATACGGTCGACCGCGCTTCTCATTTTCCTTCTTTTCTCCGCTGGCCGTTGTCAGGATCCTGAGTGTTGCCCCTTTTGCTTCATTCTCATACTTTGTTGATAACATGTATTCCTCTCTCGCACAGTTCTGGTGCAACGGTTAACTTTTTTGATAGAAGCTAGTATCACATAGTAATCCTACCAAAAGGAAAACATTTTTTGCACTAAACACTCTGATACTTCTATGCATCTTTTATTTATCGAACAACAAGATTCTCGTTCCATATCTACACCAAGTTTGTTGCAGGGGAGTTGAAGCTTGTCCGCTGGCTATCAGGAGCTCAAGAACAGCGATCATGCAGCTTTGCAGAGCTAGTCGATCATCACAACAATGCATGAAATATCATCTTTGCTGCCTCTTGCTAAAGCTTCTGCAATCAAAGTCTTAGCTGCTTCCTTTGGATCCTCCACACCTCTGATGCAGTCGCATGCGTCCTGGTTCGACATAACCTGCCCACCCACCCACCCACGGTGGAGACGAAACACGTAAAAAACATTGAGCTCGACTTTACACAGCTAACAGCAGCTTCCTAAGCAAGACACACCCACCTTCCAGAGGCCATCACTGGCCAGAATGATGGAGTCCGTGTCATCACGATCAATGGTAACAATCTTTAGATCGGGCTCTGAAGAGATGTGATCCTTCAGCCTTGCATCTCCAAAAGCCCTAGACATTGCCAACTGCCCATCCACCCGAGGCACATTCCCTGCAAGATTGTTAATACTAATTCTGCAGAAACTACCGCAAGTGGATTCAAGTTGGAAGAGCATTCGCATGTGCATACCAGGCATCTCGACAACAAACCCTCCTTTGCTCTCAACAAGGCCTCTCTCTTTCTCGGGCTCGTGATCAACAGACACCTGAGTCGCCATGCCATTCCTGCACAGAACCGCCCTCGAATCACCCACATTCGCCACAACCAACGTCTTCCCATCAATTAGTATGGCTGTGACTGCGGTTGATCCACCACTTCGGCCCACAACGTGTTCAAGAATCTCTTGGTCCGTGGTCTTGTACGCTCTCCTGATGGCACTCTTCGGGTTCCTCCAGAAGTCGGGCTAAAGGAAGCACAACAAACCCAGACATGTGAGGTCAGCGTATTTAAAGATGAAGAAAAAGCTTCGGGTTGTGGTTGAGGACAGTGATGTCCATGTACCTCATTCAAGATATTGTCAAAGAGATGAGCCTGCAGATATTTGGCTACGTTGCGGCCCGAATGGCCATCAAAGATTGCATACAATCCGAGCTCATAGCCATCCACTTTCCTGTTCTCTGCCACTACATAATCTTCCATTTCATGGTCCATCTTCCCTCTCACCAAATGGCATCCATGGCAGACTTTTCCGCCGGAACGTGCTGCCTCCTCCTCCTCATCATCATCTTCATTGTCATCAACCTCCCCTTCCTGCAGACCGAAATGGAATTCAAGGGCTTGATATCGGGGAAGTTTGAACGAGAACACTGAAAACATGAAAAAGTAGGTTCAATTACCTCAAGGTCTGCTGGGATATCTCTCAGAAACTCTGCTGGGTCATCGTCATCATTCCTTGTTCTCCGAGACAACTGAAAATGCAAAATTTTGGTCAGCTATGAAGGGCAATACCTACTCAATAAGATAGCCAAAGAGGTTCAAACAAGGGACTGAGCTGAGAGAAACGGACCGTGTCATTCGTCGTCCCAGAACTCACATCAATAGCCAAGTTTGTTCGACATTCCTTGTAACGCAAACAGAGTGCCATATACAGAACAACACAGATGAATCAAAGTTTCAAGGAAAATTAAAGCAAGCTGGGTTTTGGTAATCAACCCACATAATTGGAGATGGGACGTGTCAAATTAAATGAATTAGATGCATACCTTGGGCACAAGAGAATCCACCTTATCCCTCACTATCGACTTCCTCTTCTGCAACTAGTAGTTTAAGCCATAAAGAAACAAAAAACAGAGCAAATATGTGACCCTATGAGTGTGACCTTGTGATTGTGAAGAGAACCTGCGCTAAGAGGACATCGCCGTCGTTTCTCAACATGGATATCGAGCTTTTCTGGGACCAAACAACAACAAAATGGCCGGTTTCAGGTCAACCCTGTGCTGAGTTACAGAGTTCGACGTATATAGTTATACCTTCATCGCAGTAGGGAGAAAAAACTGTGGTGGAAGGATATGGGAATTCCCTTGGCTAACCGTTCGCGATAGATCTGTCAAAACTGAAACTGGGGGGAACTGGGAAGAGCTTCGTAACTAGAAGGTGCAAGTGACTGGTTCGCGACTTACAGTAAAGAAGGAGTTTTGAGTGTCGTGGAAGGAGCATTTGGTAACTTGGAGGAAGAGACAGGGAGTTACTCGCCACTGTAAAAGTCAGGTGGTGGAGGGATAGGGGAGCCGCAAGTGTCTCTGTCTCTCCGTTGCCAACAAATCTTCAAATCTTGTAAGCCGCCAACCAACGACGCTCCATGTGGCACCCTATATGATCATTTATGTTATAGAAATAATCAAAGTACTACAGAAATTTAATGGAAATGATTTTTTTTTTTTTTTTATATTAGTATCTATCAAACTCATTAATACAAGGCATATGCAAAAATAAACTGAATTACTATATATGGTCCGTAAAAATTTTATTTGTAGGCCTAAAATGTTCAAATTTACTGCTCATTAAAAAACAATGTCAACCTCCCTCTTGTAAACACCATTTAATCCAACTGTCTCCGGACGCCGCCCACACTCACCAACGGCAACAATCATCTTCGGCCACCACTGACCATTATCGTCGGTCACCATCTCCAGCCACCCACGTCGGCCTACGTTCACCTGCATCAGCGACGTGTTGAATACACGTCCAACAATGGCTTGCAACGTAAATTTCACACGTCACCGGACATGTAACCCACACGTCACCGGCCGTCCATATTTTTAATTAATTAGGGATTGTCATTATAAAATAATTTTGAGTTATCCTTATAATTTTATTTCAGATTTCACAATTTATTTTAGATTTATCCATATAATTTTTTTTGGATAATGTAGAGTTGTCGTTATAATTATTTTAAATCGCTGCCGACGAGCCTCTTTGAAAATGCAACACCGTTGTCAATTTTTAGTTTCTTACACTATTTCGTGGAATATCTAATTAGATTCAACTATATCTATTACTAGCTTTTACCCGACCCGTTGGTCGGATAAATTTCATTATATTTTTTACTATTTATGTTTATCAATTTATTTATATTTTAAATCATTTGAAAGTATTTATATAGATTATGTATGATTTGAAAAGAATACTTGTGGTACTCATTATTGGTGATATTATGAGCAATTAGTGTTGAGATTTTTAGTGGTGTGAATGGAAATAAAAGGGGAAAGTTTCAAGAGAGTCTCTTGAAGTACCATGTTGGTAAGATGTGGGAAGGCATGGCCTCGAATTCGATCGATTTGATGTAATATGTGGTTAATTGGTTAAATTGGTTTGTGTAACCAAATGAACCAAACCGAGTTGAACCAATTCGAAACGAACCGATATGGCGGTTGGAATAACCAAACCGGTCCAACTTCCATGAGGCCGAACCAATGCAATGGTTGGGGTGTAACCACCCATATGAAGAGTTGCCTCCCTTCAATGCATCCCTTCATTTTCTATAAATAGCACCATACCCCCTCTTGTTTTAACTACGAGTTTTACATAGATTTTTCCCGGTACTGAAACTCTGCCAAAATCCAAAACTAGTTTTTTTCTGCATTCTTTTCAAAGAGAAAATAGAGTCAAGTGTGGTTCTCGCCGTTTCGCTGCGTTCGATGGTTTCCGGGGTTTGAGGTACCGCTACGCCGGAAAAGGTACGTCCTTTCTATCCTGGGAGGAATCATTCCACAACCTTGGGTACTTGAGGGGAATAAGATTCTTTAAGGAGAGATAGTGAATTATATCGGCTAGGACGCTTGCATGTGTCTTTGCATGTTTTTCTTAATCTTATGTGTTTGCTTGTGTTGCAAGAAAATAGTATACATGAACAATTTTCCCCAACAATTAGTTCATACGCATTTTTTGTTATCTGCTCGTCCTAAATTAATGTTTCTATATCTTTTTCATATTTCAGGATAAATTTTTACCCTTGGTATTGTCACAATGAATGGTTTGAGAGGTATTTATTCATAAGTTTTGTTATTATTAACTTGATTTCTTTTATCTCCAAATGAAACCAAGAAAATTATTCATTGAAGTAATAATTATAAACTTTAAGGGATTAGTCTACCGATACCCAAAATGTGGAGTACTAAATTAGTGACCAAGAAAGCTCCAGTCCAGTCCAGTCCAATCCTCATATCCATCTAATCAAGAAATCACTACAAAAAAGAGACCCTATGGCAAGGGTTTCGTAGCAAGGGTTTCAAAACCCCTAATATTTTTTCCGAAATTCGTTGTAACAAGGGTTTGTGCCAACGTTTCAAAACCCCTTGCTACATAATTTACTTAATCTCATCCCCTGTTCCAGTTCGAAATTGAAAATTCCTACTTTCCCTTCTACGATTTTCTGGTTTTCTATTCGGCCCCTATTATGTTTAAAATTTGGAGAGGGAATGGCGAAAAGCGATCGTCGAGCTCTAGAGATTCCTCCTTTCATCTCCTCGATCCCTAGCCCACACCGCCAACATTGATTCTCAGCATCGAGCTCCATGGGGGTGGCGGGCCATAAAATCCACGACCAAAGTCCCTTCATATTGTTAGGGATTCCAACAAAGTTCCCCAAATGTCAAACCATCGGAGAGGAAAGCAGAGTGCGCAGAAGCTGCCTCGATTTCATACTTGTCATCGCACTTCCACTAGGGATGGTTCGTCGATCAGGCCATCTTCTGTGAGGAAGAGCGGCTCGTGGTCAACCGATTCAGCCATGATTGGGATGAGATCTCCAAGTAAGTACCAGCATTTGATTTGACTACGGCTACGGGTGCTGATGGATTACTCATTTCACTAATTGATTAGGTTTCTCTATTTGTTTAGCTTTTTGGGCAATTAGCAGTGATATTGGCATGTAATGAGTTAGTGGTGATGTTTCTTTCACTTTGTTATTGTTTCAGGAGGCTTGCCTTTTGTCTTTGAGGTAAGGGAACTTGAAAATACTCCGTTTTATGGAACATGGGGAATATAGCAAATCACTAGAGCCTGGTGATGAGTTTTAACTTAGTGGGGCACCTCTTGAATCTGCATCAAATTTTCGTTAATGATTTCTTGCTTTGTCTACTGCTGTATGTTCTGTTTTCTCTTAGGGGCAGCAGAGCTGTATTTTTCAGTTATGGGCGTAATATGGGCAAGGCAAGCTTTTGAACACTGCATTAACTCGGCGACTCAAGTTTCTAAAAGGATTCTGTTTGGCTCCCTAAAAACCAATCTGAGTGCGAATGCAGCTCATCTGGATTATGGATTCTCGTTTTTTCGTTGTCGTTATAGATATGTGTGTTCATGTTTTAGGTAGGACTTGTTTTGTCTGTTCCTACTATCTAGGTTCCTGAAGTGAACCCTCTGGTTTGCCTGTTGAATTTGCAGCTCCAAAAGTTTGCAATGCGATTCTTGTAATCTTCTGATGCCCAACATAAATATGCTCTGTAAAGGTGAGACTAACCTTCCTTCAATTTATTATATTAAGTGCATAAATAACAGTTGGATGTACTACCGTGGACCAAACCAATGTAGCTTTTGTGCTGAAATTTCATTGATCGGCCTCTAGTCTTGATTCTGTTCTTCCTTCCTTTGGGCTCGATTTATATAGGATTTGATTGAGGAGTTAATTTGACTATGTTGATTATCAATAAGAGATTCCATTTGTTTCTTCTGCAAAATTTGACTTTTGTTTTCCTCTCACTTGGTATTAGAAGCCGGATTACTGGTGGTAGAGTTGGTTCTGAACTTTTGTCTACTACCAAATCAAGTAATCAAGAAATCCTTCTACGAAACCCACAATAAAGGTATTCTTGATTACTCCAACAGTATCTTGTTTACATACTTCATATACAAGAGAGAGCTTGATGCACTCTTATAATTAGTGGTTTAATTCTCTTCACTAATGCTTTCCCCCTCTTTCATCAAACAAACTGGTTTCCTTGGCATTTGTGGGGCAAGGGTGGATGCAATCGACCACTACACATCAGAGATTGAGAGAATATCGGAGAGGTAAGACAACTGTCATATTGTTCTTTAGACCACATATCTGGAATCACTTCATGAACGATCCATAACCCTCCTGGTTTCAACCAGAATGGTCCTAACTTTCTCTAACCTTTTCTTTAGATCTCAACAGAAATACAGTAGGTCATGAGCAACCGGGATGCTGTAATGCCAGCTGCATTCGTTTCCTTTAAAACAAGATGGGCTGCTGCCACTTGTGCACAAACACAGCAATCCAGCAATCCAACACAATGGCTGATTGACATTGAATGGGCTCCAGAACCCCGGGATGTGTACTGGGACAACTTGACCATATCACTTGAAGAACTGGTTCCTGGTAAAGACTAAAATACTTAGCTTCAGATTGTAGTGCTATTGAGATTTACTATAATGTTCTTAATTACACGGCTACAACAGAGGATGCAGTGGCTCTTGCGCTGAAAGCAGGTACTCTCAGAATTTAAACCACGATGACCGCTTCATGATCAATGCATTTTTACATAATCTTTAAAGCTTAAGAAAAAGAAAAGCCTTCTGATGGTGATTTGTTTCAGGGGTAAATATGGACTGTGGAAATGCACATGCCATTGCAGAATTGTCAGCCATTCCCGAATTGGTTTCTGAAAGCAGATCAGTGTGACAGCAGCAGTGACATATTTCTAGTCCAACCAGGGTGTAAGTGTTCATCAGGCTCTCTCATGCACTCGGCTGAGCTATAGATCATCAAGGTGCAACTCTAGATGTTTTCTTGTGTTTAGAATATGTTTAGAATATTCCGAACGTTATATGAATGATATATGGAGTAATATTGTTTTAAGATTGTCGATCATTGAACTGGTTATGGAGAGATATAATAAGAAAAACCATAGTTTATTGAATTGTTTTTGTTCACTATTTATTTGGTGTTGAATAGTTAGGAAAACTCAATGTTTCGGTTCTCTCATATGGGTTCACATTTGGTGACGAGAATGTTCTAACTTTAGTGACGAAAAGTCACTTTAGTAACCAAAAAGTGGTTCTGAAAGATGAATTAGGTTTGATATTAGCAACCATTTCTTTAGCGACGGTTAGTTAGCAACGAAAAAGTGACCCTAATTTTTTTAATCTAAGCGAAATGTAGCATGGGTTTTAACCCTTGCTATACTAGTAATGTGGAAATTATCTCTTTCAATTTTAGAGACATATAGCAAGGGTTTTAAACCCTTGTTAATGTTGCAAGGGTTTAAACCCTTGGTACAACCCCTGCATGGGACTTCCACCAAGGGTCGCTCAAAACCCT